GGTGGAGATACGAGTTGGACTGGGAAAATAAGGCGGAAGACGAAGAGCCTATACTTGTCCAAAAGGTCAGTCTGAACAATATTGATACCAAGTCCAACAACTGACGATGATATGAGAATATAGCAGCCAACGTTCTCCAACGTCGTAGGGAGCGATGCCGTCCACTATCCACCGTCGATGACCAAACCCTCGAGCGCGCAAACTGGCTTCATCCGATCAATGGCAAATCTAGCAGGGATGCAATCCGTGGTCAACCTGCCTCACACAGCAAATGCAGTAGCTGTGGAGATGGATCCGATTATACGTGACTATGACAATTTGTTTCGCCTGTTCTACAACTATCCTCCTCTTCTCAATAGTGTCAACATTGCGACTGCTTATGCCGAGTGTCGATCTCTGCTTGCGCTTGCGGACATGTACGATGCCTTGGCGGTTACTGGACCTCGCGTAGACCATCATCTCCTCGGATTCGGATCTCGACTATTTAAGCAGATTGCCAAATACCCTCCGAGCTACCTCAAGTTGGGATACCTCGCGCGCAGCCGGGTCATCTTCTCCGAGGCACTGATTCACGTTGTGGGCCAGTGGCCCGCGGCTCTACCGCACCTTCGCAACGGCTCGTACTCGCCGCTCCCGAACTCAGTTCTCGACATCATCGAGGACAAAGTCGAGGATCTCGAAGATCTCAGGGCGCGCGTCGACTCGAAGCTTCTGCGGTTGACGCTCACCACCTCCCGCGGCGAGCGCGTCACCCCTACAAACGCATATCTCGACTGGCTCGCCGTCTCCCTGTTCCGCCAGTGGCTCGTGGACAACACCACTCCTCCGCCGGCTCCGATTCTCAAAAACGCCTCGACGAACCGTCTGCCCGCCACAGGCGCAAACATCAGCGCCAGCGCCAGCAACAATACCAGCCGCAGCCATCGCACCCAGGAAACCACATCGCGGGCCCCTCCTCCCTCGCCCCCTCTCACCCCAGCACAGGTCTACCGACTCATAGGCTCCCCCTCGACACAAGCCTACCTCTCGCACGACGAACTCAAGAAATTCCTCAAAGTGCACCCCACCCCATCCGCAGACTCGCTCTACACCCGGGACGTCCTCAAACGCTTCGAGCGTAAAATGGACGAAATCAAGCGACTGGCCCGGGAGATCGTCAAGCCGCTCCTGAGGAATTTTCTGGAGTTGGACCTGAAGGGTACCGAGTTGGGCGACTCGGCGCTCGGCGCGTTGCCGTATCTCACCTGCACGAAAGTCGAGGACGAAGACATCCCTTGGGATTGAGAAGTGACGATAACGAATAATGATGCTTATACGCGCTTTTGCTTCTGATATGATTTGATTTGAATGAATAATGACACGGCCGCTTATGTACGCGAAAACGGCGGAGTTTTTTGTTCTGTTGTTTCTCGTCATGTCGATACGATCACGATACCCCCTGCTATATTATGCCATCTGATTCTAGTTCGTTCCCTTCGTTGGTTTGCCGGTCTAAAGGCAATGCTTTATCCCGTGCTGTTTGATCTCCAGGCGTAGTGTGATGAAGTTGTTCATTAGCTTAGTTAGGCTGTAATACATTCGAAGTATTAACCTGGTCTTCTCCTTTAGTAAACAAAAGTTTATATTTACGAGCGCCAAACCAACGTGTTCTACATATTGTACAGCATGATACACACCGGAGACAGAAACGCCCGATGGAATCTACGACTTCTCTCCAATAACCTCCATCCCACCCATCCATTTCCGCAGCACCTCCGGAATCACAACCACCTTCCGTTTCTCATCCCATCCATTCTCCAGGATTGCGGCCAGTACACGCGGAACGGCCATCGCTGTCCCATTGACGGTGTGCGGGAAGCGAGATTCCTTCGCCGAGCCTCCGCGCACACGAGTACCCAGCCGTCGACTCTGGTAATCCGTGCAGATCGAGGCGGAGGTGACTTCACCCCAGCCGGACTCGAGGTCAGGCGAGGAGCTGCCGCTGCCGCTGCCGGAACCGGGGGCGCGCAGTCGGGACGGGAAGAGCGCCTCGATGTCGCGTTTACGGCTGGCGCTGGCGCCGAGGTCTGTGGTGGGCATTTCCAGGACGCGGCAGGGGAGGTTCAGGGCGGTGAGGATCTCGGTCTGGATGTCGAGGAGCTCGGTGAAGAGGTCGTCGGAGGATCTGGTTGCGGGGAGGGTGTCGGCCCAGCCGAAGAGTTCTACCTTGGTGAATTCGTGCACGCGGTACAAGCCCTTGGTGTCGACGCCGCGGGAGCCTGCCTCGGCGCGGTAGCAGCGGCTGGCGCCGACGAGTTTGAGGGGGAGGGAGGAGGCGTCGAGGTCGCGACCGGCGTACATGGCTGCCAGAGGGATCTCGGCTGTTCCGGTCAGAGAGCGCTGGGGCTTACTCTTGTCCTTGTCGCTCTGCTCGATGGCCCAGATCTGCTGCTCGTTGTGCTGGTCGCGGGGCTGGAAGCCGCACGCTTCAGCGATGTAGGAGTAGACGATCGACGGCGGGGACACAACTTTCCAGCCGCGGTTGCGGGCCACGCTGAGGGCGTACTGAACCAGCGCTTGTTCCAGCAGCGCTCCTTCGTTTATCAAGAAGTACCAGCCCCAGCCTGTGGTGGTCGCAGAGCTTGTAAAATCGATTAGTTCTAGCGCGGTGCCAATAGCGACATGAGACCGCGACAGATCTGGACGGCTGATCCATTCTGGCGGAGATTGAGGGTCGAAATTGATGTACGTGACGAGCTTTGGGTCGTCTCCAACGGGGGTATCGGGGGAGGAAAGGTTCGGCAGGGATAGGGCGAGCCGTTGGATTTCTTCGGTGCAGGTTGTTCTCCGGGTATTCATTGCAAGCGATTCATCCTTCAATCGTTGTGCCTCTGACCGAAGAGATGCCAATTCTCCCTCAATGGCACTTGATGCGCCATCTTGCCGAGCGGATGCCGCAAGATTCGCTATGGTCTTCTCCAATTGCTTAATGCGGGACCGCGGCGCTTTGAGATCTTGATCAAGACGCCTTGCTTCTTCCGAGAGTTCTTGGATTTTGTAGGGATAATCAGCATGTGCCGGGTAATTTCGATCCACGCTGTTTTTCGAGTAGAGCTCTGCGTTCTGGCGGATATGTTTGATGTCGGGGGTGGGTTTCGGAGCGGTTGCGGGGCGCAGCAATTCCGAGTTTCGAGCAGACGCGGCGAAGTTGCGTCGGGTGATTCTGCTCGTTAATCTGCAATTGAGGCAGATGTACGGTGATTTAATCGACGCCATGGCAGGCCGCGGACGTGAAGTTATAAATGCGCAGGAGATATGGGCCGATGGAGGAAAAAAGATAAGAGCTGAGGTCGCCGCCTTGCCTAATTCGGGAAATCCGCATTCTAGCACTTTTATGGTCTTGGTGCCAACGTTTCTACATATACGGTGCGTTCCCTCATGTATTTTCTCTGTATTTCCATTAGATACAGATTATATATGTCTGGTGCTAGGAATATATTGTGGGCAACCCCTCCCATTGATATCCAGGCCGGCCATTTCCTGTTCCCTATGCGTATTTATTCGGACTTCCTAGCATATTATTGGAAAGGAAAATTACTCTAGAAGCCCAGTTTGTGCTTCTTGATTCTGGCACCGACTCCAGCGACAATTAACACCGCTGCAACAAGAACGCCCCAGAGCGGAATGTGCAGGACAGCCACATTATACGTCGTCTGGGTTGCCGCTGTCACCGTCGCCAGTTCCAGGACAAGCACCGAGTATCCAAAATGGCGGTGGTACTTGTACAGTCTCTTGCCCGCATCAACACTGCCAAGGACCGTGACAGGGAAGAAATACTGAACAAGTCCCAGCAGTGCTTGAAGGATGATGCAGATGTAGGTGATTAGTCCCAAGATACCATGCGGCGATGTCAGCCGCGGATGATCGCCCTTGTTAATCTCGATGATGGTGAATGCGGTGACGAAAGCAGCCAGGCTGATAGCTTGCAAAGAATAGTGGATTCGAGTGCCCTGGAGCTTCTGCTGCGGCGTTGCGGTTGGCTGTAGGATGAGAGCCGCTTGTACTTGGAGAAGTATAGCGGAGGAGTTGAGCAGCTAGAGAAATTAGGCATCTCCCATAGTATCATCTAGAACTCGGTGCTACGGTCAACGTACCGGATGAGCAGAAAAGAAGATCAAGGGATGGGAGAAGATGCCAGCCCAGACGAGGGCCGTAAGCTAGGAAGCCGCGTCAATCACAGTGACAGCCAAGGAACAGGCATGCAGCCCATGCTAGCTTGAATAGGGTCATCTTACAAGCAATATGCCGCACTGAGCAACAGCGGCAGTCCCTGCAGCAGATGAATTAGTATCAAGCCAGACAACCTCACATTCAGCAGTGCATACCTTTGATTAAATTGCGGTAAATAGGGTCGCTATCTCTTTGCGTTACTGCACCTGGTCCACCCAATAATGGCTCATCTTCTCTGGCCTCAATGGTCTGAGGATGTTCTTGAGGGACTCCTGTGGCAGAGGCCATGAGTATGATATTACTGCAGAAGTCGGTGAGCGTCTTCCAGAAGGTCTTCGAGGTACGGAGATATTTGTTATTGAAGAAAGATAAGAGATTCAGCCGGTAGTCTGATGGGTAGATGCTTGCAGCTTATAATAATAGGCTGGGAGAGTCTATGACGAATTCAAGGGGGCCGATTGCCAATGCATGCGGAGAAGAGTAACGACGGAGGAAAATCGATGGACCTGGAAGTTTCCTACACGCCACTACGCACACCAGCCGATTCTACAGGACAAGAAATTCAAGATCGATGATTTTATACCAGGTTCGAAATAGATTCGATATTTTACTCCCAAACTAAATCACAAGCGATCCAGAACTGAACCATAAAATCAAAACCGAAGCTGAATTCAACAACCTCATCGTCTTCGATCTGCTGCATAGTTAACAGAACACAAGTTCAACCTCACAAGTAGAAAACAGGAAAAGATGTCCTAGAAAACGTTTAATAGACAAGATCAGCATTGGTCTCAAGCATCCTCGCGATCACAATCATCCTGGAGTTGGGACTTGCAACCATACCAATGTTCGTTGGCAAGTCGGCACGACTCATGGTCGCACTCATGGCTGCAGAATCTCTCACGGAGATGGTCGTTCAGCTCGTCCTCAGCACTGTCGCTATCATCCATGTCAGTGTTACTGTCACTGTCATCAGCGTCTCCACCGGGGCTCGGGGGGCATGAGAATCCATCAGTCTGCAGCTGAGGGCTAGTAAACGTCTCGAGTGCTGGGGATAGACCAGCCTGGAGGTCCTGGGATTCCTCCTGTTCCAAGGCTGCAAGTTGCTCTTCGATGTCATCCATCGCCTTGCTGATGATATCGGCCTCTTCAGGGTGCGCGTTCAGTAGGTCCGTCTGTTCCAGGAGGGCGGCCAGGAGGGCGTCGCGTTCGTTGGATGTGTCTTGGTAGGTAGACATCTTGATATTGTGAGATAAGAACGGGGTCGAATTATATCAATAAGAGATGTTCGAAGAAGAATGGATATCACTGATGAGAATCAGATGGTGATGATAATGAAGCCATTGCAAGGGCAAGTCAAGGCCATTATATAGACTGACGAGGACAAACATTTCGTCTTCATCTGGGACAGCATCTGTCTCATTTGATGCGTTCATTGATGCAATTAGAGGCAGAGTGTCTCAAAATTTATGCACTATGGAACAGTTGAGAATGCCATTTTTGTCTTGCGCAATGCATTGTCTACTTATATATGTCTTACGACATTCAGACCTATTTTGGAACAAACAACGCGAGATTGAGCGCATCATTGAGTAAATCCAAATGAGAACGGAACGTAGCCAGAGAAATTGAGAAGACATCATCGTTCTTAAAACCACAATCCGACACTGTTATGCCCAAGGCATCCGTATCACGGCAGTCTCCTCCCCAGAACCTGGTCGGCCAACGACAAGTTCCGCGCTGATATTGTCTTTCTCCAGATTCATAATGATATTGAAAATGGTCTTAGATCGCACTGCAGGACCCCGGCTAGGATCCTCTGAGCAGCAGATAGCCTGAGGCGCATTGAAAGTATCCGAAAAGATCTTGTCTCGTAGGAGACCCGGGGTGATCTGAGACCTGGAGATTCCGCCACTGATTAGCTCACGAAGGAGCTGACGGACTCGATCCAGCCGAATCGGAGAGCCAGAGAGCCATGGGGGCTCAATTACGTTCCGATTCTCGATGAAGTGGTTAGTGTGAGTGACAGTTCCCAGCACATCTTCCTTGAGATACACATCTCCTAATGGCGAGAGTTCAAGTCCCATTGCGGTTGTGCTGTCTGCAACTAGGATATGCACACTGCAAGCTATACCTCCTAGCTCAGAGACCCTTTCGACCGCCATCTGGGCAGATGGGCTCTCAAGACAGAGGCGGAGCGCCACATGGATGGGGATTTTTGAACTGATGCACGGTTTCGCCCGAATGGCGTTGAGGCAAACGCCTACACCTGCGCTGTTGAATCCGATCTTTCCAACAATTCCGGCCTGTTTTAATATCAGTGTTAGTCCATATTGTCAAATGCAAACTGCGAGGGTAGACCAACCTCGGTAACCATAAAGACTTTTGGTTTGCCGGGCTGTTCGACTGACATGATGGCGATATTCTTCCCCGCAGCGGGAGCCCAGTCCCAGTTCTGAGCCAGGACTCGTCCATTGTCATGTTTCTTCCAGGATAGACTTGTGCAGCCATCGCTAAAACTGCCCATGGCAATTTCACTTCGACAGTTCAGCGCCACAATGTCGAGAAGATCCAACCCCGCTCCCTCTGCTATACCCTGCATCTCCGCGTAGATGTCGGGCAGTTTCTTCTCCAGTGATTCACGAAACTCCTCGGCGAGGTTTCTGACAGCATCCCAGGACATCTTGGAGGCCTCCATGAACATGGCCTCGTAGACTTTGATTTGGTCCTGGATCTGCTGTGATAGGATTCGGCCATGTTCAAGTCCGATCTACCGGTGACCAGAGTCAGCTCCTACTTTGCAGAAGCAAAACAAGTAGATGTAACCGAAAAAAAGTGTTGAGAAAAGGTTACTTCTCTTGGAGAACCCTTCAGCTCCAATCTGGGCGGTTCTTTAATCTGAAGCTGCATTGTGAGGAACGGCACGTAGATGGCTGTATGAGTATACCACGAGAGCTTCAACGCCTGGTATCAGCAGTCTCATGATGGAAAAAGATGGAAACTCCAAGATTTATAGGATTCGGAGTAGTTTTCCCCTCACTTGGTGGGCTGTTCTCCGAGACCCCTGTCATATGCTGATTCGGGTCATGTTCGGAGATAGTTGGTCGTCTATGTATACTTACCTGACAGCGTTATAGCTTCATCATTATTCTTGAACTTGCAAAGAGTTCTGACACCTGAATGACTAATATTGGTACCTGAATTTCTGAGAAGCCTACCTCTCTCCCATCTTGAGTCATCCATAATAGTCACGCTATGTCTAGTATAATCCAAAACGCGAATATGGCCCCCATCCATCACTATTATTCACTGTCATCGCACACAACTACAAACAACGCTATGCCCTATCCAAGCCCTACAGCATTCACTACCTCATGTTTGTTGATACCCTGTGCGCACCTCGCGTCCAGCCTCGCGTCCATATCACCCTACAACGCCTCCCTCCTGCCTCCTCCTCACAACCACTGCATACAAACCTCAATAATCAACACCATGCCTGCAGAAATTCTGTAACACTTCTCTACCAGCTCCATCTCCTCGACTCAGCCTGCCGTTACTACACTCAGACCACATCTCTTCCAACCCGATCTTCTAAATCAACAATCCAAAATGGCCAACGCAGAGCAAGAACGCCAGAAGATCCTAACCTCCCTCTCGCACATCTTCTGGTCCAACACCGACGTCTCCACCGGCATCACCCACAAACCCTACGGCGTGGACTGGATCAACCTCGAAAGAAACATGTACCGCCTCTGCGTCCTCCAAGGCAGGGTCCGCGACGGCGACAAGGTCCCCGAGGATCCATGGGAGATGTTCCTGCGCGAGTTTGCGCCGCTCACGAAACGTCCCGCTGGTCAGCGGCAGCCCTCGACTGCGTACTTTCCTAGCTCGATTTTGCGGTCGTCGGTGAGGAATGCGAATGCAAACGCCAGTGCCAGTGCCAGTGCGAGTGCGGGTCAGGGTGGTCAGCTTCATGTGCGTTTCGAGGTGCCTTTACTGCGTCGCTCGGATGAGGATCGGCGGAACGTGGGCCGGATCCCGCGTTATTTGAACTGAGGCAGGCAGGCTGGGGCTTGGTTCTGTTGTTCCTTGGCGTCTTGTGGGATTGTGAGTTTATCTTCTTGCGACGGTGGACAAAGACTGACACTGTCTGCAAGCGCCTGTCAAATTGCGATCAACTTGATCTGCTGGCGTTGTCTGGTATAGCGGGATGGGTGACTGGCTTGGTACGGATATGCCCTGGGCAAATATCGGCGTTGTGAGTTTTGAATGGCAAGACTATGGCAATGTTGGTTCTGTACAATAGCCGCTTGCTTTGTGAGATGTAAATGCATCCATTCCATGACTGTACGTATCCTGAGTTCTGTCTTCCAATATCTGTCATACATCATTCAACCCTATTCAGTGTGCAAAGGTCTATTCCTCCATCGACACGTGGAAACACTTAAGAGTCCTTGATCAAATGCTTGAACAGCTTGTCAAGGTAATAAGCAGATTGCTTAGGGTACCGAGTCTTCTCCGGTGAATCAAAGTCGATAAAGGTACACCCGAACCGATCGGTATAGCCCGCGGCCCATTCTGTACCATCTTCAGCATTGCACTTTGAGACCAGACAAAAAACTTACCCCAGTTATCGGTGAATGTCCAGGCAAAATAGGAGCGGATATCAATCCCGTCCTCCTTGACCGCACGAGCCAGTGCCCACCCAACATACCCCTCGAAGAACCTGATGCGGAACTGGTCGTTGAGAACACCGGGTGAAGGCGCTGTCTCGCCCTTGGCTGTCGTGCCATTCTCCGTCACGTAGATGGGCATCTGATACCGAGACCAGATCCAATTCAGAAGCTTTCGGAAGCCCCAGGGGGCAGCTCGCAGCCACTCCGTGTCGCTCTCTTCGCCTCGAGGAACACCCTGTTTGTTAAAATCATGGATTTCCACATTCCCCTTGTGGTCGTTTATGTCCGCAGGCGTGGTCTTGTGCTTGACGAAGAAGGACGTGTACGAGTTCATGCCGTAGAACTCGGAACTCCCAAGCACCAGCTTCGACTCCTCTGGCGTGAACTTGGGCAGACGGTCACCCAGCTGCGCCCTCATCGAGGCCGGATAGTCACCCGTCTTGTAGAGCGGGTCCGCGAACCAGGCAATCTCGAACTCTCGCGCGCGCTCGGCGGCCTCTTGATCCAGCAGGTCGGCTTCATCCCATGGCTCGGACCAGTTCCCGTGAAGCGTGATGCCGATGGTCCCTTGCTGATGGGGCTGGAACTCCTGCTTGTAGAGACGGGACACGTGTCCATGGGCGACCAGCTCCGTGTGCGCAACGATGAATGGCTCGGTGGACGAGTCGCCCTCCTCGTTGCGGTCCCGGAATGAAGAGCGACCCGGTGCGTGGACGCCCGCTGCATATCCAGCCAGCGTATAGACACCAGGCTCATTGAATGTAATCCAATGCTTGACGCGATCGCCGAGTCTCTCGAAGCAAACACGAGCGTAATTGACAAAGTCCGGCACGAACTTTTCCTGGTTCAGCATGCCGCCATAGCGATCCTCCAGGGCTTGCGGTGTGTCCCAGTGGAAGAGGGTGACAAACGGTGTGATGTCATTACGGAGCAGCTCGTCAACGAGATTTGAATAGTATTCAATCCCCTTTTCGTTGACGGGGTCGTCGCACCCTCCAAGAGGAATGATTCGAGACCAAGAGAGTGAGAAGCGGTATGCATTGACCCCATACGACTTCATAAGCGCCACATCTTCCTTGTACAGGTCGTACGAACGCACCGCGTCGTCGGCAGTGCTTCCGTCCTTCACCTTACCAGGTGTGTGCGCAAAAGTATCCCAGATTGATTGGCCTTTACCGTCTTTATTCCAAGCTCCTTCCACCTGGGCCGCCGCGGTGGCGTAACCATGGAAAAAGTCGCTCCTCAAGACCCCTTTGAGATCTTGAACGGATTGCAGGTCCATGTCTTGTCGCCCCAGATCTTTTAGTGGTCTGTTTCTGGATAGTCTAAGCCAGTATAGACCCAGGTCAGAAGAACTCGTAGATGAAAGGCTTAATTCAGCGGTGATTGAATACCAGATTCCGTCCACTGTTCTCATGACAATTGACAGGTTTAATCGATCAGGCCTGCTTGCTGTCATAAAGATATCCGGCTAAATTGGAACATTTAGCTCGTTAATTGGCCAATCTATTCCACCATTCTGTCTCTTTATTGCTGGATAAATCCATCTGGGCATCGACCAA